GGTACAGCCTCTGTGAAAAACAGTAAGAAGCTTGCTCAAAATTCAAAAATAGAATTACTAAACCATGCAGCAATGCCACTTCTGGATATTTGTGCAAAAGTGGCATTATTTGGGATCTCAAAAAGAAATACTAACTGAGAGGACAATAATAGACTTAGGTTAAGAGCATGCTATTGAGAGACCCAAGAAACCAAGAAACTTAAAAAGCCATACTTGCTGTAGAAGTAGTGTTTAGTTCACTATATTTCATATATCCCTACCTCATGTTTACTATATATTTTGTGTATTCCTACCTCATGTTCATTGTACTTTATAAAATCTTAGTACCTTAAATCCTACCTCAGACCCCGTAGAATTAGGCATATGTTGGGGTAGTGACTGATTGTGTAGATATATAAAATGTCTTAAGTGGTGTTTAGAACTCTTAGGTTAAGCATTGTCAGTCCTAATTGTCATACTGACTTCTGCTTTTACAATGGGATGTAAATGTTAAAGAGATAAGCCCCTTTCAGACATTCCTTTGCTATCACAGTAGACTCTGAGGCGCTAGCTGCTCTCTAGGTGGGCTTTATATTGATTTAAACCACCTGCTTCCATGCCAGTGTTAATTTACACGCAGTGGCTATGTAAACCTGAAGGGATCAAAGACTTTTACAAGAACCGCCTTGCTATAAGATGTTTGTGATATTTTATAAATTCCCAGAACTAGTACTATATGAATTTCTACCCCACATTCACTGTATGTGGTTGCAGCATTCATATTTAAAACTTTGTTAAGTTTGGTTTTTGTTGTCCCATAATGACCATGTTATGTTATGTAAATGTTAAGCAAACAAGCTTTCCTAAGCATACCCTGGGGTGGATCAGCAAACTTTAAATGGCTAATGTAACGCTTTACCTGCCTGCTCAGGTTACTTTATACGCAGTGACTGTATGGACCTAACTTATCTGACATTCCACTCTGCCCATTAAGTGGGATTCTGTCAATCACGGGCAATCAGGTTACAGCCCACAAAAGGCACCAACCAATACCAAGTGTTCCCGTACCCATTAGGAGAAATTACCCAATCAAGTTTAAAGTTCTTTCCCCTCCCTCTGTAATTGTGCATAAAAACTGCTTGCCATTGTGAATCAGGGCTCTGGTCCATGAAGCCTCTACAGGCTTCATGCGTGAGCCGAGACTCGAGCCTGAATAAAGACTCTCGTGTGTTTGCATCAGAGCTGGCTCTTTGTGGTCTCTCTCTCTCTCTCTCTGATTAGAGTCTCGGGTTTAACAGTAACTCCTGTTTATTGCAGCATTATCACAATAGCCAAAATATGGAAACAACCTACAGGTTCATTGATGGACAGATGATGAAAATGCGCTATGTGTATGTATGATGTATATGATGTGATACAGATGTATACATAAATATGCACAAATGTGACACATAATACAATGAAATATTAGTCAGCCAAAAAAAAAAAAAAGGAAATCTTGCCATACGTAACAAGGCTAATGGATGAAACTTGAGAACATCGTGCTAAGTGAAAGAAGGGCAAAGACTGCATGAGTTCACTTACAGGAGGTATCTAAAATGGTCAAAACTCAAAGCAGAAAGTGGAGTGGTAGTTGCCAGGGCCTGGAGGGAGGGGACAGAGAATTGCTGTTCAATGGGCATGAAGTTTCAGTGATATACGATGAATAAGTTGTACATATCTGCTCTACCACATTGTGCTTACAGTTAACAAATACAGTACTGCACACTTAAAACTATGTTGTGGGTAGACTGCATGTGACCTATTCTTACTACAATAAAATGATTTATAAAAATTTAAAAGATGGGGCAGATCAGCAAGACAATACTGATATAAATCAGTTTAGTACGGACCCATAATCTTAATAGAAATCTTAACACTCCTACAGTTCTCTTTTGCTTCTGCAGGTTAACTGGAAATCTTAACAGTGTTCTCACAGCTTTGATGTTCTATATCAGTTCTTTTATTTAACTCAAGTATTCACCCAAAATAATTTAAGATTCTTTTCACTTGCTCGTGAAACCTATTCCATACTAGCTTAAGCACAAAGGAAAATGTTTTGCTTTCATAAGCAGGAAGTCCACAGTCGTTCTAGCTTCCACATGGCTGGATCCAGACGTCCGATATTATCAGGGCTCACCCTCTTCATCTCAGCTCTCCTCAGCTCCATCATACACAAAGGGTCTCTGCATATAGTAGGCAAAATGGGGCAGAGAGCCCCAGGCACAGCTCATGCTGGCTTAACTATCATTGTTCATATGGTAATCTCAAGAAAGGCTGTGGGTTGGGGTGGAACACTGTAAATGAGACCCACTAGGGTCATATGGAGGGGAGAAGGCGCCCCTAAATGAACGGAAAAAGTGCCTGGCAACTAATATCGAACAGACAAAAGCTATAGCTATTCAAGTCAAAACTCCAGTGCTCTCACAGTTTTTGCTCTTTACATATCTGCTATACATTTACATTGGCATTATTATACAAATAACCCTGTTCAAAACAGCTGGGTCATCCAATTATGGAAACACTTGGGCTAATTTATCTAGACTTTACAGGACATCACATATGAAATATGTCTCTATCTTTGCAGCCATGGTCATTAAGAAAAAAAAAAATTATTAGCTGTCTTTACACAGTATCCAAGGAGAAGAATCAGAACAAGGTAAATCATTTGAAGTAGTTAACCGTGCTTAATTTTCCACTTTCCAACTGGACAAACAAGTGCAAGAGCATACAAGGTAATTTTGAAAACATTTTTTCAATTCATAATAAAATTGTTGCATCACTTTGCAAAATTAAAACGCCAAAAGGGATTCCCCAAGATTCCAGCTCATTGCATTTCCTCCTTTAAAGTTGGAGTCTAAAACTTAGCAACCAGTAGTCATTCATCCTACGTCCGCAGGTCTTCAACCCACGGAACAGTCTTTCTTTCTATCTTAGCTCCTGTTCATCCAAGAAGAAAACAGAACACACTGACACAAACATATCCAGGAAAAACTACTCCACGAGCACCTATACATGACAGGCACTCTTCTAGGAGCTACAGGACAGCGGTGAACAAATTTCCCACAAGAACTTGCCAACTCACCTTTACTAAGTTACAGTTATTGGTTATATAATACAGTCATGATCATGAGATTTTTATTTTCCATTATACTTCACTATTAATTTTGAGTGACAACAATTTAAACACCATAACTCTTCCATTACTACCTAGGGGTTTTCTAGTAACTCTGTTCTATTTCCTATAAAGTAGTAATCTTAAAGTTGGTATTGGTGTTTTTTTCAATATGTGGCTTTCACTAGTAATTCAGTAGATTATCCCCATCACCTTTCCCACTGGGATATACAATTTCTCTTGAATGGCTAATTTTCTACAGCTAAATAGAGAGGAATGGAGAACAATTGTTGATTGCTTAAATCACAACCCTTAACTGTAGATTTTGAGAAGTAAAATCAATTCAAATCCAAAAATTGCACTTTGACCTTCCAAGACAACAACTGTGTAGCTATAAAAATTCAAAGTACGGCCTGTTATTTCTTTTGCTGTCTTGTTAATACTTTTTTAGACATTTTCCATTTGTAAGGTATAATATATACATTTAGATGTTTGGGTGAATATAAATATTTCAAAACTTCTGCCATGGCGTAGTAAAACCTATAAAGCAATGCTCATCATCACTCAGGTGAAGAAGAAAATATTTTTTGCTGTCCCAGGATGGTTCTTCATTATTTGTCACTCTATTTGTCTAATTTAATCCCTCTATACATTCATTTAACATAGCTACTTTGTCCTGAAAGTAAAATACATTATACAATTTTACCCTTAATATTAGTTACTTTCAGTTACTTTGTAAATGCCAAGTATTTTTTTTTTTTATTATAAAGATGTGGGGTGCAATTCATAGGTATACAAGTGTTTTTAAATAGTAAACTTATGTATAGTCTCTCATATTAAATTAAATGCACACATGGGTGCACTCACATGTTATTTAGAACCACTGCTCCATCCATCGCCAGATGTCCAGAAAAAGACAACATGCTCTGTACTACTTGCTCAATGGTAGTTTTTACTTAAGACCAGGCTTCACTTAATTTTAATTAGGTCAATTGTGCTTTAAAAGCACCTTAGCAGTTTGGGGAGAAATGAGGCTTTTATTGAAGAAAAAGACAAAGCAACTTTAATGTCTAAATAAAGTGACAGAATGTGATACATGTTTAACAACAAAAAAACTTTATTGATTTACAAATTTAAAAATGAATCACTTAATTTAAAAGTGACACTTTTAATTTTATTATTCTTAAACTAATTCTTTCAAAAATGCACTTTATTTTTGAAATGATGAAAAGTTCATCTATGGACCGACAAAGTAGAGGCGGGTTAGTAGTGGTGTGCCAATTCTTAACATGGACACTTAAATGCTGTCTTCTGTACTACATCAAAATGATTTGCAGTAAGAAATTGGAAAAGGGGAGCAAAGGAGAGTGCCAAGCACATACTGAGGTCTTTCTAAAGGTGTCTGATAGAACGCAGATTCAGCATGATAAGATGCAGACTTTGCATTGATGGCCTGTAAGATGTACTAGAGTGAGTGTACCCTAAGAAACCTATGGAAACCATTTTTTTCTTATTCCAAACAAAAGATGGTACACGTTTAAACATAAAGTAAAACTTAACTGTAGGATCTGTACTATAAAGCTACTTGTTACAGCCCATATATTAACAGTGTTCAACAACCTCATTCATTGACAAAAAAAGTCAGCAAATAAGACTTAGGACAAAAATAGTTTCTATCAACCTCCATATTGAAAGACCAGAGGTTTAATGATTTATACAGTCCTCAAGCTTAATCCTTGGTCAGTATAGATTTCCAAATCAAAATCAAGTCATGAACTGTTTACAACAACTACACTATACTAAAATGCTAAACGTTTTTTTCCCAGTATGTCTTCCTATGAGGGAAAAAAACAGTCAGAAGCTTTCATCTTTGCCTGTGAGGGGATTTATGAAAAGAAAAGCCTTCTAAAATACAACAGTGTTCTTCTGCAAAACTAAAGTACACTACACAGTCAAAAAGGTAATTTAACAACAAAATCAAATTAATCTCAACAAAGTCGTGTTTCCAAAAGTAAAATCTATTAAGAACAAGTAACATACATATACAAGAAATTACAAGAAATGATGATCACGGTTAGTTACAGATGCAAAACAGTATCTAATATCCAAGGTTTGTGAACATAATAATTAAAATCAAATTCATACGCTAGTTCAAATATTATGTACAATTTAGATAAGCTGGTCAAGTATTATCTGAATACACACCATATTTGGTAAAACTAAAATTATATTACCTTTTCTCCTCCCCTAATATCTGTAGATACATGCCAATATAGGAAAAAAATGTAATTTCCATTTTTGTATTAGTAACAAAGAATAACAGAATTTTTACTGTGTATGTTTCACACTGTAAAAAGTAAGTGAAGGTACATTTTCCTTTAAGAAGGGAAAAAAAATTAAAATAAACTGCCAGAAGTTTAATTGATAAAAGTTTAATAACAACTTATTTAAAAAACAAAGGAAATGTTTTGAAACAGATGCCATACAATTATTATATGGTCTCCCTACTGATCTGAAACTACTGAAGGCATTTAAGGAAGAGATGTTAGGTCAAAAACAAAGACTAACCCAAGGGATATATGCTGCTTTAAAAATCTGATCTGCAGGAAACTAGTTGCTTGGCCTAGTTTTAAAGCTAATTACAAAATCCGTTTTCTTAATGGTCCAGACATATTTCCAATTCTTCCAACTCAACAGAACTGTCAAAAAAGAGAAAAAATGTTGTAAGACCTTTGAATACAAGGAATAGGGTGTTACCCATTTGAGACAGCATATACCTTATATTACTTTTTTTAAAAGATGCAATTTTTTAAAAATGCTATTCTTTTTCACATACTAGTCACCTATCTTAAGTGTTTGACTTTCCCAACTTAGAATTAGTAGGAACACATAAGTAAAGAAGTATTATAAAGCATTTTTAGCATTTTTATTAAGTATCTCTTTGTAATGTTTTTAGGGTTAAAAAAAATAATTAACAATCCCAAATTTGAACTTGTAGAATATGCCACCCTTGGCCTCAGCTTTCTATCCTACCTTCAACTTTCTTAAATCCAACGAGTACTACATCAAAACTTGTGTTACAAACTGCATGTATTCAAAACAAATTGCACTATATACTTTATAATAATAAAAAGGATCCATCACGCAAAACACATCTAACAGAGCAGAGCCAAATCTGCTCAACAGGATTGAAAAAAAGGTGATGACTGTCCCTCTCCTAGACCAACGTAAACAACTTCTGTCACCTCAAAAGGGTAAGAGATACTACTTCAAACCATGAAGACACTTTCAGTAACAAAAAATCTTTCCAGTTCAGAAAGAATCTGTATGGCCTGGCGCAGTGGCTCACGCCTATAATCCCAGCACTTTGGGGGGCCTAGGTGAGAGGACTGTCTGAGCCCAAAGGTTCAAGACCAGCCTAGACAACTAGGCAAGACCTCATCTCTACAATAAATCAACAAATTAGCTGGCCGTGGTGGCATGTGACTATCATTCCAGCTACTTGAAAGGCTGTGGTGGAAGGATCACCTGAGCCCAGCAGGTGGAGGCTGCAGTGGTCGTGAGTGTATATATAAGAAAATGGGTTCTGGCCCCAACCTATTACAAGTATTGAGGACCAAAGTCCCAAATCCTATCTGTGGAAGATACCTGGTCTGGCTTCCAATTCACTAATTTCCAAAAATGCTTTAAGCTATGTGAATAATTTAAAATGAGCACTAAACTGAAAAGTCTATGCTAGTATAATTGAAAAAAAAAAATCTTGTACAAACTTACAAAAACCAGCATTTTTGGAACACTGATAATTATGAGGTGCATTAAATATATTATCTCTACTTCTTATCACAACCTGCAATGTAGGTATTTACATTTAATACAAGAAAAAAAACACAGTTGTCATGAAAAGAGGCACGGGAATTCAAAATTAATTTGTATGACTCCAAAGACTAAACTTCTACAATGTGAGTCTTCCAACTCCATAACCCTAACATCCCCATCTATATTTATCATTAAAGTGCTATTAGAACTGATGGGTGATTCTCCTCACAGTTTTAAATTTTATTTTTCTTGTTTAGAAAATCACTCACGATAGAATCATTTAAATCACATAAACTTGCCTGTATGGGGCTAATTCAATATACACGCAATACGAAGGCTTAGTGAAAAGCCTACCAAACCATGACAGTGCTCATCTGTTTTACTAAAATAAACACTAAATTACTGGGTTTGGTTTTAACAAGGTAAATAAATATTCCCAGAATCAAAATCTATTACAACAAGTACATGTACAGATCTTCTGGATGCACAAGAGTCAAAACAATTTAATAACTATAGTATTTGTAGAACTATGATACTATAATTATAGCATTCCAAACTCACCCTCCCATTCCTGCACCCAAACAAAATGAAGGTGATATAATCAAGTTAACACTCTATTTCTAGTAGGGTACAAAACAGTATATACTCCATTACAAGTCATCAGGGACTACAAGAGTACTGTACATATTTGAGTATCTAGCTAGACTTATGAAAAGACCAGTAGAGATCATTCTATTATAAATGAGTATGACATGAATCCAAGAAGATGTTATACCTTCCATCGATTTCCACATTCGTTACAGACAACAAATGTTGTCATTGGTTCATCAGCACTACGGGTTTGTACCTGCAGCAAAATTTAATGAAAAATATTAATTACTTTCTGCGGTACCATAAAAAAAAAAAAAACCCAACCTAAGAAATTATACTAAACACAATGATACCAGAATAAAATGAATAAAAGCCTGAAACAAGTTAAAATAAACTATACAATGTTAAAAAAGCATACATTTCCAAACTTCATTTTTCTAAATCCTTCCTTGCCTTTCATGTTTTAATCCAATCCAAACAAGTAGGGAAATCCTCTAAAGTCATACAGTATACTTTTCACAAACAAGCTAATATTTTAAAAATTTAACCGCAATAAGCACAGACATGTATACATTTAAACATACATCAATATTTTCTTACAAAATAGTAAATACATAATAGTTAATATTTCACTGACAAATGTAACTGCTACAACCTTTCTATAAATTAGGCAACAAGAAGGTAAGAGCCTTAAATACTCATTCTCTGTAATCTAGAAACTTATCTGATCTATTCTAAGATGATAATTAAAAACACAAAAATCTGTGAACAAGGATATATGAAAAGTATAATTTTATAATAACACCAACACTAGAAACAAATATCCAACAGGGAAATAATGAAATAAACTAAGAGTACATACATCTGATAGAATAGCATGCAGTCATCAAAATGTTAACAAAGGGTTTTAAAAACACTGATTGCAAGGAAAATACTTACATTATAGTAGCTAAGTAAAATTAAGAGTATAAAATAGTTTTTATTTAACTTCAACTGTACTAAGAAAAAAATCCACAAAATACTGCAGACACCAAAATATTAACAATTAGTTCTCTTTGGATGGCAGGTTAACGGGTGATTTTAACTTTCTTACTCATATTTGTCTGTATTTTCCTAATTTTTCTATAAATAAGTACTATCACTCTAAAAAAAAAAAAAAAAAGCTAATATGACCACATGATCCAGCAATTACACTACTGAGCACATAACCAAAAGGAAGCAAGCAGAGTCTCAAAGAGGCATCTGTATACCAAAGTTCACAGCAGCACTATTCACAACAGCCAAAAGATAGATGCAACCCAGGTGCCCCATCAACAAGATGAAAGGATATACAAAATGCATTTTATTCACACAATGGAATGTTATTCAACCTCATAAAGGAAGGACATTCTGACACAGGCTACTACACAGATAAACCTTAAGGACATTATGTTAAATGAAATAGGCCAAATAATAAAACACAATAAGAAATATCGTATGATACCACTTATACGAAGTACTCAGAGTAGTCAAATTCAAAGAGACAAGAGAATGGCTGTTGTCAGGAGCTAAGGGAGAGAGAAGTTATTGTTTAGTGGATACAGAGTGTCCATACTGCAAGAGGAAATGCCTTCTGGAGATTACATGAACAAAACATTCTACTACTGAACTGTACCACTTTAAAATGGTTAAGATGGGATATTTTAGGTTATGTATAGTTTACCACAACTAAAATTTTTAAATTAAAAAGTGAACTCAGCAAGAAAAAAAAAGGTGATATGATTTTTAAATATTTATCTATAGAAGATTATAGATTTCTGAGGTTCTCCACTGAAGAGAATTACTAGAGCCAAAGGTCTCAAAAACAGAAATTTTTTTCCTAAACTATGCATTACTGAATGAAGATAACAAAGCATTATTAAAGTTAAAAGTTATTCTTTAATTAAGAACCTAAATAAGGTATTTTTAAATTTAGTAAGAGATGGATGATAAAATCCCAGTTTATCAACAATTCAAAGATCAAGTCTTCATGATACTAGTAAACTATCAACATGATTTTTAACTCAAAAGCCCAAAAGCGCCAGGCTCGGTGGCTCAGCCTGTAATCCCGCGCCTTTGGGAGGCTGAGGTGAGTGGATTGCCTGAGCCCGCAGGTTCAAGACCCGCCTGGGCAACGTGGCGAGACCTCATCTCTACAATAAATCAAAAAATCAGCCGGGCGTGGTAGCGCATGCCTGTAATTCTGGCTACTCGGAAGGCTGAGGCGGAAGGAGAAAAATTATTCTGCTGTATTTTACACATACTTAATATTAATATCCATGGCCCTAAAGCTAGATACATGGAATCTTTTGCTTTCTGGAAAAAAATTTAATCTCCTCATGGGTACATAGTAATCAAGACTCACACTTAATTCTTTTATATCTGTTACTTTCATAAGAAGCTTGGAAGTTTTCTATCTAAAGAGAGTATTTTTCTGATTCTAAAAAATTATACTGACTTCAACCTCTAAGCATTCTGTTAAAAGAAACAAATATGATACTTATGTTTTTTATCTTAGCTATTTATAAATCTGATTATGTAAATCTACTTTTTATACTTCGATACTTTCTACCATGTGATATGTTTTTAGGATAGTTTTTTTTTTTTAATTGCTGAGATTTATTTACCTGACTAAAAGAAAATAGAGTAATTCAAGCTCAGAATTTTCTGGGACCATGTTAATACATTTTAGTAACTTAGTAAAACTGCTACCAAATGAAACATGAAAATATTCAACTGTAACTAAATGAAAATCTTTAAAAAGGTAAAAGGCTTTAGACTTTATTTAAAGTATGCCTTAAAATGGAATATTAAAACATGAAAAAGAGCTAAAAGCTCACTTAACATTCTACTGCAGTTAGAAAAAGGAAAACAGGTCTAGCACAATGGCTCATACCTATAATCCCCAGTACTTTGGGAGGCTAAGACAGGAGGATTGCCTAAGTCCAGGAGTTGAAGACTATCCTGGGTAACATAGCAAGACCTCATCTCTACCAAAAAAAAAAAAAGAAAAAGGAAAACAAAAATATACTGACATTTGCATATATACACATAAAATACATAGAAAGATACACAACAAACTAGTAAACTCCCAGGGAGGAAGAACAAGGTAGCTACAGGCAAAAGTGTGAGAAGAATTTCCCACTCAAAATCTTTGAATTCTTAACCTCAAAAATATAATAACTACTAAAAAACAATTAAAAAAAAAAAAAGTCCCAAGTGCTTGGAGAAACGCTTGAGCCCAACAGTTGGAGGTTACAGTGAGCTATGATCATGCCACCACAACTCCAGCCTAGAAGACAGAGTAAGATCCCAACTCAAATACATACATACAGACAGACAGACATAAAAGCTCATTGCTACCACTTACACAGTGAGTGTAGTGATATTATTTTTTTAATGCTTAATATTCTGTCAGTGAAAAAATTAATTCCCTAAATCTATTAGCTGAAACAGTAAGATATTCTTTAAGGAGAAAATTTTAAGTTGAGATGATAAAACACAAAAAAATCTACGTGGCAAATGAAATTAGGACAGTGATAAAAGCCATTTTCACATATGCATAGAAAACCAAAATTACTATAACTTGGTTCTTTTCAGCTGTTCAAGAATAAAAAAGTGAAAAACTAGCAGGGCATGGTGGCATGCACCTGTAGTCCCAGCTACTCAGAAGTCTGAGGTAGAAGGATTGCCTGAGTCCTGAAGGTTGAGGCTGCAGTAAGCTATAATCATGTCACTGCACTCCAGTCTGGGCAACAGAATGAAACCCCAACTCAAAAAAATAAAAGAATAAAAAGGTTAATCACATCATAATGAACAAAAAATTCATCAATGTTACAAAAAAGATATCTGGAAGCCAGTTAAGCCTAAAGTAACCACATGCCATGTGAGAGAGAAGGAAGAACTTTCCTTAAATTATTTAGTCCTGTGAATTAAAAAGAATTATGGTCTATTTACATAGTAAGCAATAATTAACTACATATGAACTCTTAGAAAAGAACATGGCGATTTTATTAAATCTTCTATCTTACACATTTTGTTTGAAAACAGCTTTCATTGTAACTATTTCCATGAAAGTATAAATACATCAACTTACTATAAATTAAGTGGAATCAGTATTAAGAAAGCATGCTTATAGAAAGAGCTTATATGCTGAGTGCAGTGGCTCATGCCTGTAATCCCAGCACTTTGGGAGGCCAAGATGGGAAGGTGAATTAAGCCCAGGAGTTTGAAACCAGCCTAGGCAACATAGTGAAACCTTGTCTCCACAAAAAAACACACAAAAACCCCCGCAAAATTAGCCAGGCATGGTGGTATGCACCTGTAGTACCAGCTACTTCGGAGGCTAAGGCAGAAGGATAGCCTAAGCCCAAGAATTTTAGGTTGCAGTGAGCCATGATCATGCCACTGCACTCCAGCCTGGGCAACAGAATGTGACTCCTGACTCAAAAACACAACAAACAAACAAAACAGAGAGCATATCTCCTCTTAAAATAATCCTCTCCATTATCCACAGTTTTGATTTCCATGTTTCAGCTACCTATGGTCCAAAAATATTAAATAGAAAATGCTAGAAATAAAAAATTCTTAAGTTTTAAATTACACACTGCTCTAAGTAATGTGATGAAATCTTGTACCACCCTACTTCATCCACTCAGGACATGTATCATCCCTTTGTCCGCTGTATCCTCACTGTATCTGTTACCCACTAGAAAGTCACCAACATCATCACGGCTTGATGATCCAGTATCATCCAAAGCAGATGAGCCTCCTTTTGACTCACTGTCAAAAGGCCAACACAGCAGCCTAACACTAAGTCACAATGCCCACGTCATTCACCTCAGTTCATCTCATCACATGAAGAAAGATAAGGACAGTGCAGGAAGATTTTGAAAAACACAGAGACCACATTCACAGAGCTTATATAACAGTATATTGTTTATAATTGTTCCATCTTATTATTAGTTGTTGTTAGTAATCCCTTGCTGTGGCTAATTTATAAATTAAACTTTACCAAAAGATATGTACATATAGAAAAAACATAGTATATGTAGTTTGGTACTATCTGTGGTTTTACTCATTGAGGTTCTATAGAAAGTATCCTCTGTGAATAAGGAGGAACTACTGTACCAATAAGTTTTTTGCTATTTACTTTTAAAAAGAAGTTGCAAGCACTCTTAATACAAAAATAGGAATCTAAAAACAATCACAAACCTGTGTGTAAGTGCAATTCTTCTTTTTACATTTGCCACATGTGAACAAGTCAGTCTGGGTTCCACCTGTCTTGGCCATCTGATGTTCTCGGATGGCTTCTTTGGTCAAGTTTTTCCGCATCTCTTTGAGCTCATCACTAGCCATTTCCTATCAGGAAGAGAACAATATCACTCAGTTACAGACAAGCCCTATATATGCACTGAACGCTTTTATGCTCAATTAGCCTAATAACAGAACAAAAACCAACTTTTAGCATTTCAAAAGCATAAAATTAATATTTTTCCTCAGAGGCCTTTTTAAAGTTTAATTCCTTTTAAAAATGTCTTCAAATGCATAAGTCTTCATGTGAAAACTGGATTTAAGAACTGCCGAAGGCTACAAAACAATGTAAACCTGTATCAATGAGCACTTCTAGTATCCAAATTATGGTCTCTAAATACCATTGCCTCCCTATCCCCCAAAAAGTCAAGAAACTTTGGAGCAATGTCTGATTTCAATTTTGAGGCAAGAAATGCAAAGAACATGCCAGGGTCATCTTCTTGTGCCAGAAAACATAAAAGCTACCAAAAGACTTTTGTGGTTGAGTCAAGTGGACACAGGGGCCAACATGAAGGAATTTCTATTGGCCACAGGCCAATTTCTTCAGTCATCAAAATAAATTTCTGTAAAAAAAAAAAAATCAATCCTCATAGAATAAACAAAAAGCCACAAGTCTATGATGATACTTAAGGTACACATATTCAAAAACAAACAAAAGGCATTGTTAACTAAGGCACGGACTCCTTATTCTGGTAACTAAAGAGAGAATTACACATTTATCCCACCTTTCCTATCCAAACCAACGGGGTAACCAACAGCCAAGTTTTTTTTTTTTTTTAAAGTTTCTTTAGCAAAGAAATCTACCTAATAAAATTCAAAAGGAATGACAGAATTTTAGAAATCACTATTTTGCAAATCCTAATGAAATAACCAATTCCGGTCAGGACCATCATCAGATAAACCTATTAGATAGAAGATAGATGGAGAAACCTTTACAATGGAGGAATCACACTGTCATACTGTCTCTACCCAAATCCTCTGACAAATCTCAGCATGCTAAGAGTAGTACAACAGATATCATGTGACTCCTAATATGACATAACTGAAGTAAAAAGCTCCACTTATGAACTTATGTGAAAAAAGTGAAACTTGAGTGCAATCAAGCCTGTAAAACTTGCATCCAGTTTGCAGACAATAGTGGAGATAGAAAAGAAAGAAACATGTAAATTCATACTATTGGATAAAGAAGATAGCAAGGCACAGCGGCTCATGCCTATAATCTCAGCACTTTGGGAAACCAAGAGAGGACTGCCTGAACCCAGGCGTTTGAGACCAACCCGAGCCAACATGGCGAGACTTCATCTCTCCAAATATCAAAAAATTAGCTAGATGTAGTGGTGCGCATCTGTAGTTCCAGCTAATTGGAAGGCTGAGGAAGGATCACCTGAGATTAGCAGGTTGCAGCAGTTGTGATTGTGCCACTGCATTTCAGCCTGAGCAACACAGTAAAACTGACTCAAAAAAAAAAAAAAAAAAGAAGATATGAACTTGTTTCTTCAAGGGGTCAATGTTGTGAAGAAAATAAAGGGGGGTGAGTATGAGTGGCAGAAGAGACTGCTTCGGATTTTTTAAAGAAATACAAAGCTGAGGCAACCCCTTCGGGTCCCTTCCTACTGTGGGAGCTTTTCTGTCCTCTCAATAAATCCTGCTTTCTCAATAAAAAAAAAAAAACCCAAAAAACAAAACAAAACAAAACACAGCCTGTAATCCCAGCACTTTTGGAGGCGAGCAGATTGCCTGAGCCCGCAGGTTCAAAACCAGCCCAGACAACTAGGCGAGACCTCATCTCTACAATAAATAAAAAAAAATAGCCAGGCACGATAGTGCATGCCTGTAGTTCCTGCTACTTGGAAGGCTAAGGCGGAAGGATCGCTGGCACCCAGCAGGTCCACACTGGGGTAGCCATGAGTGTGCCGCTGCACTCCAGCCTGGGTGACAGAGTAAGACTCCAACTCAAAAAGAAAAAAAAAATACAAAGCCTTAAGAGACCAAACTAAAGGTAATGTGTAGACTTTGAATCCTGACAAAGTAAATGTACAATAAGAAAAAAAGGAATATAAACTAGATGCTAGATAAAATCAAGGAATTATGATTTGCTTTATTGGATGTGGTGATGACAACACAGTTATGTAATAAAAATATCATAGCTTTAAAGATACCTCCCAAGTATATAGAGGTAAGGATATATAATGTCTGAGATTTGCTTGAAAATAAATCAGAAGTTAAAAAAAATGACAGATGAAAAGGGTGACAAATATAAGGAATCTCACTACAGTATGTTCTCAACTTTGTAAAAGCCTTAAATTATTTTAATAAGGTTCTGAAAAACTAAATTTTAAAAATATAGCAATTTTTAAAGCTGGGCACAGTGGTTCACGCCTGTAATCCCAGCACTTTGGGAGGCTGAGGCAAGAGGATTGCCTAAGCCCACAGGTTCGAGACCAACCTGGGCAAATTGGCAACATCTCGTCTCTACAATAAATCAAAAAATTAGCAGTGCACACCTGTAGGTCCAGTTACTTGGAAGGCTGAAGCAGAAGGATCACCTGAGCCCAGCAGGTCGAGGCTGTGGTAGTTGTAAGCATGCCACTGTACTCTAGCCTGGGCATCAGAGTGAGACTCCAACTCAAAAAAACAAAACAAAACAAAACATATATATATATATATATATATATACATATATATATATATATATCAATTTTTATTAGCTACAAATGTACCTTAGCAGATACTGCAATTTCTACAAACTGAAGGTTGCTAGCAACACTGTGTAGAGCAAGTCTATCAGTGTCACTTTCCCATCAGCATGTGTTCCCTTCCTCACTCTGTCACTCTGTCACAGATCTGCGATCCGTGATCTCTGGTATCACTATTGTAATTGTTTTGAGTTGACTTTAACTGCAACCACCAAAGATGTCAAACTCAATGAACACTGTGTGTGTTCTGAATGAGCCATCATTCCCTTGTCTCTGTCCCCTTTCTCAGGTCTCCCTATTCCCTGAGACACAATAATATTGAAATTAGACCAATTAATAACCCTACAATGACCTCTAAATAATCAAGAGCAAGGAAAAAAAACAACAACACACATCTCTCACTTTAAATAAAAAACTATAGATGATTAAGCTGAGTGAGAAAAGCATATCCAAGGCTAACACAGGTTTAAAAGCTAAGCCTCTTGCACCAAACAGCCAAGTTGTGAATGCAAAGAAAAACTTTTTTTTTTAAATTTCTGTTTTTTAGAGACAGACTGTTGCCCAAGCAGTGGTGCGAGCCCGCCTCACTACAAGTCTCAACCTCCTGTACTCTAGTGATCCTCCATCTTAGCCTTCCAGGTAGCTAGGACTACTGACGTATGCCACCATGCTTGGCTAATTTTTTAACTTTATGTAGAGATAGGGATCTCGCTATGTTGACCAAGATGGTCTCAAACTTCTTGGCCTCAAACAATCCTCCTGCTTTGGCATCACTAAGTGGTAGGATTACAGGCATGAGTCACCAAGCCCAGCCAAAAAATGTTCTTGAAGGAAACTAAACATGCACTCCAGTGAACACACAAATGATAAAAAAAAAAAAAGTGAAACAGCTTTGTTGCTGATATGGAGAAAGTTTTAGTGGTTTGGACAGAGCATCAAACCAACTACAACATTCCCTTAAACCAAAGCCTAATCTAGAGTAAGACACTAACTCTCTTCAACTCTGTGAAGGCTGAGAGGTTAAGGAAGTTGCAGAAAAAAAGTTCGTAGCTAGCAGAGATCGGTTCATGAAGTTTAAGGAAAGAAGCCATCTCATAACATGAAAGTGCAAAGTGAAGCAGCAAGTGCTGACGTAGAAGCTACAGCAAGTTCTCCAGAAGATCTAGCTAAGATCATTGATAAAGGTGACTACACTGAACAACAGATTCTGAACACAGACAGAACAACTTTACGCTGGAAGATGAGAAAGGTCAATGTCCAGCTTCAAAGCGTCAAAGGATAGGATGACTTTCTTGTTAAGGGCTAAGGCCTAAGGTGACTTTAAGCTGAAGCCAATGATCATTTACCACTCCAAAAATATGAGGACTGTTAAGAATTATGCTAAATCTACTGTCTGTGTTTATTGATTTGTTTGTTTATTTTTTCTTATTTTTTTGAGTCTGAGTTGCACTCTGTCGCCCAGGCTGGAGTGCAATGGCAGGATCACGGCCACCACAGCCTCAACCTGCTGAGCTCAGGTGATCCTTCCGCTTTTGTCTTCCGAGTAGCTGGGACTACAGGCATATGCCACCATACCTGGCTAATTTTTTGATTTACTGTAGAGACAAGGTCTTGCCAAGTTGCCCAGGCTGGTCTCAAACCCCTAGGCTCAGGCAGTCCTCTCGCCTCTGTCTCCCAACGTGCTGGGAACAGGTGTGAGCCACTGCACCCGGCCTGTGTTTATAAATGGCACAACAAAGCATGGATGACAGCATATCTGTTTATGCTATTATTTACTGCATATTTTAAGCACACTGTTAAGACCTACTGCTCAGGAAAAAAATACTTAAAAAAAAAAATTACTGCTCACTGACAATGCACCTATCCATCGAAGAACTCTGGTGGAGAGGTACAAAAAGATTGACATTTTCATGCCTGCTGACACAACATTCATGACGCAGCCATTGAATCAAGGAGAAATTTTGACTATCAAGTCTTATTATTTAAGAAATACATTTCATAAGGCAATACAGCTCCTATAGAAAGTAATTCCTCTAATGATCTGGGCAAAGTAAATTGAAAACCTTGTGGATGCCAGTAGCGATGGCTCAAGCCTGTAATCCCAGCACTTTGGGAGGCCAAGGCGAGAGAATTACCTGAGCCCGGGGTTTACAGACCAGCCTGGGCAACTTGGTGAGACTGCGTCTCTATAATAAACAAAAAAAAATAGCTGTATGTGGTGGTATGGGCCTGTAGTTCCAGCTCCTTGGAAGGCTGAGGTGGAAGGAGCACCTGAGCCCAGCAGGTCGAGGGTGCGGTGGTTGTAAGCATGCCACTGCACTCCAGCCTGGGTGATAGTGAGGTTCCAGCTCAAAAAAAAAAAAGATAAAACCTTCTGAAAAGGATTCATCATTCCAGATGCCATTAAGAACATTCACAATTCACTGAAAAGAGGTCAAATAACAACATTAACAGGAGTTTGGAAGACATTGATTCCAATCCTCATAAATGACTTTGAGGGATTTAAGACTTCAGTGGAGGTTGGGCGGTGACTCACACCGGTAATTCCAGCACTTTGGGAGGCCCAGGCAGGAAAACTGCTTGAGCCCAGGAGTTCAAGATCAGCTTGGGCAATATAGTGAGACCTTGCCTCTACAAAAAACACAAAAATTAGCCAGGTATGGTGGCATGTGCCTGTAGTCCCAGTTACTTAGGAGGCTGAGGTGGGAGGATCACAGGAGCCCAGGAGGTTTAGAAGTCAGGATTGTGAGTCAGGATTGTGCCACTAGCCTGGGCAACAGAGTGAGACCCTGTCTAAAAGAAGAAGGAGGAGCAGCAGCAGCATTTGTTGCAGAAACAGCAAGAAAAGTAGAACTGAATGTAGAGCCTTTAGATGTAACTGAATTGCTACAATCTCAAGATTAAACTTGAATGGATGAGCTGCTTCTTATGGACAAGCACAGAAAGTCGTTTCTTGAAATGCAATCTATTCCTGATGAAGAGGCTGTGACATTGTGGAAATGACAACAAAGGATTTACAACATTACATCAATTTAGTTGATAAAGTAGAAGCAGCATTTAAGAGGACCGACTCCAATTTTAAAAGATCTATGGATTAAGTGTTATCAAATAGCATCAAATGCTACAGAGAAATCTTTTGTGAAAGGAAGAGCCAATCAATGTGGCAAACTTCACTGTTGTCTTACTTTATAAAAGTACCACAGCCATTCCAGTCTTCAGCAAACCACTACCCTGATCAGCTAGCAGTCATCAGCATCAAGGGAAGACCCTTTAGCAGCAAAGAGATTATAACTCACTAACAGCTCAGATGATCATTAGCAATTTTTAGAAATAAAGTATTTTTAAATTAAGTGTGTACATTTTCTTTCTTTCTTTCCTTTTTTTTTTTTTTTTGAGTTGGAATCTCACTCCGTTGCCCAGGCTGGAGTGCATTGACCTGCTGGACTCTCGCAATCCTTGCGCCTCAGCCTTCCAAGTAGCCAGAACTATAGGCACACACTACTATGCCTGGCTAAATTTTTTTATTTATTGTAGAAACGAGGTCTCACCATGTTGCCCAGGCTGGTCTTGAACCCTCAGGCTCGGGCAATCCTCTCTCTTGCCTTGGCCTCCCAAAGTGCTGGGATTACAGGCTTGAGCCACTGCGCCCAGCCTTTTTTTTTTTTTTTTAAGAGGCAAAGGCTCACTATGAGCCCAGGATGGTCTTGAAATCAGGCTCAAGCAATCTTTCTACCTCAGCCTTCCAAAGTGTTCAGGCATGGGCCACTGTACCCGGGCCTATTTATTATTTTTTTAGACATAATGCCACTGCACAATTAGTAGGCTACAGTATAGTATCAATGTGGCTTTTATATGCACTGGGATACCAAAAAATTTGTGTGACTCGCTTTATTGCAGTGGTCTATAACCAAACCTATGGTATCTTTGAGGTAAGCCTGTATATAGAAAGACAGATTCATACTCTTGAATGCTTAATAAACTGCAGATACGTTACAGATACTTAAGCTTAATAAACTGCAGATATGCCACAGTTATTATCTATGAACAGCTATGTCTATAAATAGCAAAATTTGACTTTCATTTCCATCATTTCCTATGTAAATTTAAGAAATAATCAATAAGATGTGATCAATTTTGTAGTATTTAACCATAAAATAAGGTTAGCCATTACAAAGCCTACTTGTAATTAGAGATTCAAGTATTTGGTTCCACATGAATTCATAAAAACTACAACACTTTTGTTTTTAGATAATGATTTAATTTAATCATTCAAAAAGTATATCATCCACAGAAGAGGCAAAGTAATAATGCTCAGAGATACAATCCCTTGTTTATCTAGAATACAAATATATCAGAATAACTAATATAAATTTATTATGTATATGCAGTATTTATATAGTACTCTATGATTTAAGTAGGTTTTACACTTGACATCACAGAATCTCATCACAGAAACTTTAAATGCAGGTATACTCACCTCTGCTGTCATTCTAGCAAATAAGTCAGGAGGAATATTCCCGCACAGTACATTTTTCCTTAAATTTGGATTCTTTGCATCTTTAAGATTTGATATCCTACTTCGTACTCTATTTTTGTATTTCATGTCTGTATTCCTTATTTCTTGATATATAGGTACTAAGCCATTAAGGAAAAAAAGGTAATATGATAAAGACCACTTTTTTCCCTGCCAAAATAAGAATATTTGAAATTTCTAAACAGTTCACAAAAACAACTTCAAATGTATAATACGTTAAAAAGAAGGCACTGAATCTATCTGATTCTTTGACCTGAAGCTGGCAAATGACAGTGCTAGTACTTTTCAACTGTGAATGAATAGTGTTGTCTTAAATGTTGAATGCCAGCAGCATGCAAATCAACAGATTTCAAAAAGTAGCTCAAGTACTCCACACAGTAAGCACACTTCTGAAGAAGTGAGTCCATACAAGCTTTTACTTGCCCAAATCTGAATTCTACCAAGGATCTCAAAATCTCTCTGGTCACACAGTTTTATTTAAGACCCTGGCGATTCACCTCCTCCCCCAGCTCTGCAGGAGTCAAGCTCAGCAAGTTCTTGTCCACAGAAGAGGCCATCACAGAGGCTGAGCCCTGGAACAGCTCTTTTCCTAACAAGGCCTCAACCAGCACAGTCCCATGTCACACAGCCACCTAGACACTCCTTGTCCCCTACCCACATGCAGGACCCCTCTCCCAGCATGAGCACACTTCCCTCTGGGATAATGAGTTCAGAAGACTGTGTGTGCTCTGAGTTCCCCCAACTGAGAAATCCTCACATGTACATGTGGGTTTTTTCCATGCCCTTTTACACAATTTAAATTCAGGTGAAACATTCTTAATCTGCAAGGCAGAAAAATTTGAATGCCATCAACCACTGTATGCTTAACTTCTGAACAACAGGAAAAAGAGGAATAAAATGACAATAGAAACCCCTCTCCTTCCAGGACAAAGCAATACAATCAAGACAGAAAGTGAAGAATAAAATTTTGAATTCTGTACCAGAAGAGAAAATTACAATTAAGCTGACAGATTACTTAAAACAATTATGAATATACACACAAAGGATATCCTCCTCAATTTGAGATCCTAATTCTTCCTCATCAGCTCCAATGGCAATGTAGTCATCTAGAAACAGGCATAAGGAATTAAGTTACTGTAACATAATAAAAGAAAATTTTAATACTGGGTAATCAAACTGCATTCCTATTTCTTCTACCCCATTTGCCCTATCTAAAGAATCTTTTTAGTTTAGTTTTATTAGAATCTGTTCTCATTACTACCTACTAGATTCCTTTTTTCTGGGATTCACCTAATATCCACAGTGCTCCTGCATTGATGACTCCTTATCCCTCAGGAGTGGGGAAGTAATTGATCTAGCAGGCAACTCCTCATTTCATAATTCCACAAATTCTGGTTGCTCCAGCAGAGAGTAGAGAAAGTTATAGAAAGAACTGTCTTGTCTCCTGTGACTCAGGCTTCAATGCAAAGAAACCATTCATTTCATCTGCCAATCACATACATGGACACACCCAGGAGACTCGTATACAAACATTCACAAGGATGGAAGGAAATAAACAGAAACTAGAAAGAAAAAAGAAAAAAATATATATAAAAAGTAAGGAAATCAAAGTAGAAAGGGCAAAGAAGAAAAACAAGTCAAACTAGTTACGGTTCAGAACGAAGAGAAAAGAAAAAGGATGAATTTGTATAAGATGCTAAATATTCCTACACATGAAACTTTAGAGCTAAAATTTTACATGTTAAGACAGAATACTTTCAAATTAAATTAAGCTCCCATATAAAAATCAAGATTGCTTTTCCAAAAAAAAGTAGAAAATGGAATTATAAATATAAAACTTACTATATGCTTTACTATCATATAACAATTCAGTATTGCTAATTCCCAATCTGAGGATGGAGTAATTCATGCGCAGATTAAATGTGGGGAAACAAAAGATTTGTGAGAAAAAAGTCTGAATTACTATGAAATTAGGAAAAACATCCAAATATCAGAAGAAATCTATTTTTTGGAATTACATAGTAAGAAGCAAATGCCCCAGTATTCCTATAACTCTCCCACTCATGAGATCTCTATCAGCAACAACTTCTCCCTGAGATAAGCAGCGGTGGACAGTTATCAACAGAACAACATTCATAAAACAGCAATATGGAGGTGGAGATAGTAGTTGTGGTAATGATTAAAGGGCTGAGGAACAAAACAATGTACACTGAACTTACCTCCTGTTCGAAGAGCTGCAGCAAGCATCTCCCTACACTTTAATCGCACAGAATCAGAAGTACTTGGTGCCCGAGGAAAAGATGAAACATAAGTATCTCGAGCATTTGTCTCATCCTTTCTGCTGCTTACATTGCTGCTGGAGCTACTAAAATACACACACACACACACACCAAAAAGAAATCAGGAAAATGCTTTTAAAGTAACAGCATCACTATTCCATAAAAACAAGTATTTGTGGCCTAAATAAATGAGATAGGATTTCAGTGACTCTTACATGAGAAAAAAAAATAGGTTCCATGTAGATTTAAAAGAAGTTAAAAAATTTAGTGAAAAGGCAAGTCTTATGTCTGTTTTTTAACCAACTAAACATTTTACCTTGATTCTCCTTTTAAACATCAAAACACATTGTTAAGAGAAAGTACATATTATAGTTCAGTACAACAAATAAAAAACAAAGATCTTGGTGAGGGGAGAGCGATAAGGGGATGGCACCAGAGAACATGACAGCTTTCAACCAAAACGAGAGGGAGGGAAAAAAAAAAAAGACTGAAAAACCTTGTTCCAATTAGACAATGAAGTTCCAAAGAGATAAACACCCCCTTTAGGATAAAAGTCATGTGTACTGGCTGAGTCGTGAGAATATAAAAAGGTTTTCCAGCAGGGCAATGGTGGCTCACACCTATAATCCCAGCATTTTGGGAGGCCGAGGTGAGAGGACTGCCCTCGGGTTCGAGACCAACCTAGGCCATTTGGCCAGACCTCATCTCTACAATAAATCAAAATGTTAGCCAGGCGTAGTGGCGTGTGCCTGTAGTTCCAGCTACTTGGAAGACTGAGGTAGAAGGATCGCCTGAGCCCAGCAGGTCGAGGCTGAGGTGGCCATGAGCATGCCACTGCACTCCAGTCTGAGTGACAGAGTGAGACTCCAACTCAAAAATAAATAAATAAATAAGCAAACAAATAAACAAAAATAAAAAGGTTTTACTTCTCAGAAACATCACCTCAATACAGACATCAGGATGGTTTAATATTTTTCCAGTCAACCTAATCATTTCAATTGCTTCTAATTTATTTCTTATATTGGATTTCCATCAAAATAGCTTATTTCCAAAATACTCTTTTGACTGGTGTCAATTATGTTTTATCACATTAGAGATTTTGCCATAAACCTTTACAAAGACTAATTAAATCATTTACCCTCCAGAGATCTAACTTGCTGCGATGCTGCAAGGACATACCTCCTTGCCTGTTCTCCAAAACATGACTACTGTTCAACTTCACAAACAGGTCACTGAAGGCTAGACGGTCATTAGTACCTTCTAAGTTTAGTCAGTTCTTTCTTGAAGACTTACCGACTTCCCACTGCCCTCCCAAGTACTGTTTTCACTCACGTATGTATATGATGACATTTCATACATTCTTCCCTACCAGATCCTGTTTCTCAAGAATAAAAACTAGGACTGATACCTCTTTGTATTATGATTATGTAGCATAGCAGCTCAGTTATATATAAATGAACAAACCAACGTTTAAAAACTCACTTCTTAAATACTTTAATTAAATGCTTTTGTGCCTGTAGCCAAATGCCAAGTTCAACCACTGGAAACTGCCTGGATGGAATGACAGAGACTTTTCCTCACTAGCATCACTATTGTTGGTCCCAACCCTGACATTCTGGTTTCATAAATTTTTACGCCCAAAATGTAAAACCTTGCTTAGCTACAAGTAACTTAGATCTAATCTTGTATCTTCCTCTACATTACTTCTCAGACTTATCTCTCCAATCCTTTTATCTCCACCAGAGAATGTATATGTGGGTGGATACCAACCACTTACTTTATCAGACTTCATACGCAATAATTCTATGCTTTTGCAGATAGGCCCTATGACTAAACTTAAAACTGACTTAAAAAAATACACTGAGAATTTATTTTTTCTTCACTATCTATTTAAAATATGTCTATGCTTTTATATGTTCAAGATACTCAAGTGACTCAATGTAACATAACTGAAAGTATTATTAAACAATTCATAAATTATGACCTATACTTTTCAATAATATCAAGATCATGAAAGACAACTACACACTGAAAAACTATTCCAGATTAAAGGAAACTAAACAGATTTGGTAACTAAATGCAATATGAGATCTTGGAAATTTTGGAAAAAAACTTTTCCCTTTGCAATAAAGGACATTATTAGGACAACTAAGATAATGAGTGTCTATAGATTAGAAAAAAGTACTGTTATCAATGTTCATTTCCTGATATTGCTAGCTATACCATGTTAATATATAAAAAATGTTCCTGTTTTCAGAAAATACATAGATGTGGCGAGACCTCATCTCCAGCAAAAAAAAAAAAAAAAAAAAAAATTAGCCAGGTACCATGGCGCATGTCTATAGTTCCAGCTACTTGGAAAGCTGAGGAGGAAAAATCACCTGAGCCCAGCAAGTCGAGGCTGCGGTGGCCGTTGAACGTGCCACTGCACTCCAGCCTAGGTGACAAAGTGAGACTCCAACTCAAAAAAACAAAAAAAAGAAAGAAAATACATAGATGTATTTAGGTAATATAAGAAGCACAGTGTCTGCAAATCACTCTGATATGGTTCAAAACAAAATTAGTCCATGTATGTTTATATACACATACATATACAAATGCAAAGACATCAGGGCAATTGGGTAAAGGGTTTATGGGAGTTCTTTGTATTATTCTTGCAATTTTCTATAAGTCTAAAAGTATCTCATGAGAACTAAACACTGGGTACACACATAGATAAAGATGATAACAACAGACAATGAGGACTCCCAAAGCGGGGAAGAGAGAAAGAGGTCAGAGTTGAAAAACCATTTATTAGGTATTATGTGACAGGCTCAGTGGAAGCCCAAACCTCACCATCATGCAAAATAGCCATGTAACAAACTTGCACATGTATGCCCCTGAATCTAAAAATGAAAATAAAAATAATAATAAACTTTAAAAAGAAATAGGCAAGTCTTCAAAGATGTATATATACTAGGGTGATTGCAATAGAATTAATACTAGAAAAACAATGGAAAAATTATTTAAAAATTGAAGACTGGAACTAAACTAGGAAATATCTATATAATGGAATATTATGAAGTCTATAAAAGTATCTCAAAATGTTAGAAAAAAACAGCATAAATTTTACTAGCAACTATTGATTAAGTCTACCTTTGGCTTACCTCTTAACATCAAGTACAGTTAATACTAATACATAAAATAACAAAGTACGGAATGTTAAATTAGTGCTCCTAAGAAATGAAGAATAAATTAACTGGGTGTGGCAGTGTGCATCTGTAGTTCTAGCTACTTGGAAGGCTGAGGCAGAAGGATTATCCCCACCCAGCAGGCTGAGGCTGCAGCAGCCGAGAGCTTGCCACTGTGCCTGAGCGAGAGAGTGACACACTGACTCAAAAAAAAAAAAAAAAGAGAGAGGAAGATATGATCAATTTTGGAAAAATACTGAAAAGGTTCAAATGACCTTAAAAAAAAGTCAAAACAGGCTTACTGTCCTAAATACCTCTAAGTCTCTAAGTGGGTTACAAAGTAGTCAAAAGTTCAGGGACAGAACAGTGTTTGGAAGCTGCTACTCTAAAGTATGGATTCAATAACTTGAGTGCATCAGAAACTCCCAAAGAGCTTGCTAAAAAAAATAAAAATAAAAAATAAAAATTTCTGGACCCCATTACCAGAATTCCTGATTCAGTAGTTGCAGGGTGAGGTCTGAGAATTTGTTCTTCTAACAGGCTGTCAGGTTCCCTGCTTTTCCAGGGACCACGTTTGAGAACTACTGATCTAAATCAATGTCAGCATGTTGGATGCTGTGATGTGCCAGGAAGGAACAAATGCAAAGGCCTGGAGGACCTGAGGAACAATCTGAACCCTTCATTAAGACACTTTGCATTTTAAGTTCATAAGACAAATTGCTAAATTTGGAAGGAAAAAAAGCATATAAAGGAGAATGAGATCCAATACCAAAATAAACTTTAAAAAGGAATGTGGTAAATAAAGTAACCCCATTGAATTCCCTAATCAAAACCTCCACTATCAATTTTGAAACTCACTGAGTACAAGGTAAGTAAGTATCTTCTACTTTAAAATTTTCAGGAAATCTTGGGGGAAAAAACCTTAGACTATTTAGCTATACACATTTACTAATTCCATTTGATTAGAAAACAGAAACAGGAATGCAGATATAGGATGGTAAGATCAAGGAGTAAGGTAACATATCTACTTGATACAAATGAAATACCTTTCTTCTCTTGCTTCAGGGCTATTCTGTGATGTAATTGCAGGTTCTTTTTTCTTTTCGTCAGGGTCTTTCTCAGTTGATGGCCCATCTGAAAGTCACGAAATCCCTAAATTGTTAGCATTTCTTAAGAGTAAAAACAACTAAAATGCTGCATATTAAGAGGCTGTTTACACAACAACAAAAAAGAAACTCAATGAAAATCCTTAAAATCCTACATTTTCTACAAGTAAATGAAATTAAGCGATTCTATTAACATATGTACTGTACTTGGGTGTTTTCACAAAGCATGCTCAATCAACACTCCCAAATAAATTTACTTATTTGGTAGGAACTACCTAAAAGGGAGGAAAGTATACAGAACAAAGGAAAAGAAAGAAAATGGAAATATCTGTACTATCAGTTCAAAAACAAAAGCACAGGTTAGGCTCATGCCTGTAATCCCAGCACTTTGAGAGGCCAAGGTAAGAGGACTGCTTGAGTCCAGGAGTTTAAGACTAGCCTGGGCAATATGGCAAGACTACATGTCTACACACACACACACAAAGTAAAAATTAGTCAGTAAAAATTAGTCAGGCATGGTAGCTGTAGGACTGCCTGAGCTCAGAGGTCCTGCAGTGAGCTTTGACTGTGCCATTGCACTCCAGTCTGGCAACAATTAGACCAGGACTCACAAAAAACAACCCAGGGAAAACTAATACAACAATGCAGTATGATCTAGTAAGGATACAATGCTGCCAAAGGAGCAGTAAAACTGATCTCACACAGACTCTTGCAAAGTAAATCTGTGTAACCCTTTTGAAAAGCAGAGCACAGAGGCATGAACAGTCTGGGCGACAGAGTGAGACTTCAACTCAAAAATAAAATAAAATATGGTACATAGTCACTGAATGGGTTATTCTGAAGTCAATAAATATGACAGTAATGATGGAAAAATACAAAATATTTTTATTTAAAAAGATTATATAAATAAGTATACATACAATATTACAGTATAAGTAAAAATGATAGTTGAAGCAAAATTTATGCACTGGTAGGAAAAAAAAAACTGATGGCTTATATTCAGAGATAAACCTAAAGATGATTGTTTTTTCCCCTATAACTGTCCAAATTTTATTGAATGAACATGCAAATCTTTAAAGTTTTAAAAGGAGAACTTGAACTGAAATTAGATACGTTCAATAAGTAAAAAGAGTAAAATTTCTTTAAATGTAAGATTAAATGAGCGTAACTACAAAGTCCATTCTTTTGTCCCACAAAATGCAAACCATCTTTCTAAAAATAAAAACACATGTATATGGCTTTCAATCAACATTCTATGACTAATTGTAATTACTTTAGAAAACAGAATTATATTTAAAATTTAAATGAACTATAAACTCAGAGTTTCTGTTTGTCTTTAAACATTAAGACATTTTTTAAAACTTTTCAAAACAATTTCAAACTTGCACAAACGCATTAAGAATAGTACAAAGAACTTCCATATATGTTTTACTCAGATTCCCCAACTGTTAACCTTTTGGCACGTCTGCTTTCTCATTCATTCCTCCATATATGGACATATGTGTGTAAGTACACAAATAAACATACTTATACACATAGACATATTTTGTTAGAACCATTTGAAAATGAGTAGCAGACATTAAGCTCTTTTATTCCTAAATACTTCACTGTATACTTCCTAAGAATACAGATATTCATTTATATAACCATAGCAAATAATGAATACATTTAACAATGGTACAATATTGCTAACTTATCTACAGACCTCATACAAATTCTTCCAATTGTCCCAATAATGATTTTTATAGCAATGTTTTCCTTCTCATCCAGAATCCAATGAAGAATCATATACTGCATTTAGTTTTCTTCAGATTTGTTTTCTTTTTTTTGAGTCAGGGTCTTACTCTGTTACCCAGGCTGGAGTGCAGTGGCAGAATCACAGCTCACTGCAGCTTCAACCTCCTGGGCTCTGGAGATCCTTTCGAGTAGCTGGGACTACAGGCAAGGGCCACCACACAGGCTAATTTTCTTTATTTTTTGTAGTGACAATGTCTTGCTATGTTGCCTAGATTGGTCTCCAACTTCCAGGCTCAAGCAATCCTCTTGCCCTGGCCTCCCAAAGTGTTGGGATTACAGGCATGAGCCACCACAACTGGCCAAGACTAGACTTTTAAAATTTTATACACTTTACAATTTTTAGCTCCTAGCTTCCAAGTTCTTGTAAGTAATAGGTTTTTGTTGTTATTGTTGTCTTTGAAATTTTCAAAGGTTCACTTTTCCTATATTTTCTTCCATATAATGTCAGTAGCCACTTAGAGAATAGGCTGATTCCAGGGCTGAGGCAGAGAAGGCAGATGAACCCAATACATCTTGTGGTGGCTGAATGTAAGAAAGTGATCAAAAAACTGAAGAGGGCTTGTCAAAAGGACACAGGAGTCAGTCTGGAGGGGCACCCACTGGTCAAATCTGGGACAATGAAAATATTAAAATAGTCAGGCGCAGTGGCTCATACCTGTAATCCCAGTTCTTTGGGAGGCAGAGGCAAGAGGATTGCCTGAGCCCAGGGGTTCGAGACCAGCCTGGACAACTTGGCAAGCCCTCGTCTCTACAAGAAATCAAAAAATTAGCTGGGAGTGCTTGTAGTTTCAGCTACTTGGAAGGCTGAGGCGGAAGGATCGCCTGAGCCAAGTCAGTAGAGGCTGCAGTGCCGTGAGCTTGCCACTGCACTCCAGCCTGGGCGACAGAGTGAGACTCCTAATCAAAAGAAAAAAAAAGAAAATATCAAAATCTGAATACTAATGGATTACAATCCACTGTACTGAATAGGAATCCATGCGTCCACATTAAGAATACATAAGTAGCTAAGACCAAAAGGAGAGTTCTTTCTTATATTAGAATTAATGATTTTATAAATATTGAAGTGGAAGAGTCAGAAAAAATCACTGTTTTGCAACAACCACTGCAAAGATGGGTTTGGGCAAAAATCAATGGATATTAAATTGGGAAGGGATGGGAAAGATCTAAAAAGGTACAAAGACAGGTTCAAGGTCTTATAGTGTTTCCTAAAGAACATCTATTATAGTTACAAGAGGAAAAAAAATAATATGCGAGATAGTGTACACTTTGGCTGGGTTCTCAAATACCTATGGATGTGATACCTTGAGAAGGATATAATATGCTTATATAATACTGCAATTGTGGATGCACAACCAGATTTAATCATGAGAAAACATCAGATAAGCCTCAAATAAGAAAGATGCTATTAAAAGAAAAGGGGATTCCAGGCACCGTGGCATGCGTCTGTAGTCCCAACTACTGGGAGGCTGAGGCGGGAACTCAAGCTAGCTAGGCAACACAGTGAGCCCCCTATCTCTGAAAAACACAAAACACAAAACTAAATAAAAATGGAGGAGGGCCAGGCTCGGTGGCTCAGCCTGTAATCCGAGCACTTGGGGAGGTCGAGGAAAGTGGATTGCCTGAGCCCGCATGTTCAAGACCAGCCCAGGCAACTTGGCAAGACCTCGTCTCTACCACAAATCAAAAATTAGTCGAGCGTGGTAGTGTGCGCCTATAGTTCCGTCTACTAGGAAGGCTGAGACAGAGGAATGCCAGAGCCAAGCAGGTTGATGCTGGAGTGGCCATGAGCATGCATGCCACGACACTCCAGCCCGGACGAAGGAGTGAGACTCCAACTCAAAAAAAAGGGGGAGGGGGGAAGGGATGAGGAATACACTTGCTTCAAGGATATAACTTAAAAATTTGAAGAAGTTTTGACTTGAATATGTTTCCTAGTCTAGTTTTCAACCAATATTCAATTCTACTTTGCATTCATTATCCTGGTCATTTTTTATATATTGTATATAACGTATTCAAATTGTTACCTGAAACCAAAAATATGCTTATCCTAAATTTTTAAACACATCATCAATTTGATAAAAATTTAATTTGCATGAAAGTATTTAAAGCTGGAAGCGGTGGTCCACGTCTATAATCCCAGCACTTTGGGAGGCAGAGGTGAGAGGATTGCCTAAAGTCAGGGGTTGCAGACCAGCCTAGGCAACTTGGTGAGACCTCGTATCTACAACAAATCAAAAAATTAGCACATGCCTTTGGTTCTCGCTACTTGGAAGGCTGAGGCCAGAAGGGACCACCTGAGCCCAGCAGGTGGAGAATGCAGTGGCCATGAGCATGCCACTGCACTCCAGCCTGAGTGGCAGAGTGAGACTCCTACTCCAAAAAAAAAAAAAAAAGAAAGTATTTAAAAACACAGCTGGGTGTGGTGGCTCACACCTGTAATCCCAGCACTTTGGGAGGCCAAGGTGGGAGGACTGCTTGAGCCCAGGAGTTTTGAGACCAGCCTAGGCAAAATTGCAAGACCTCTTCTCTACAAAAACTTTTAAAAACTATCCATGCATGGTGGCACACGCCTGTAATTCCAGCTTCCTGGAAGATCACTTGAGCCAAGAGTCTGAGGTAGCAGCAAGTCGTGATTGTGCCATTGCACTCCAGCTGAGTGACAGTGATACTCTGACTCAAAAAAATATATATCACACACATTAGTGGGAGCTACATGAATCTATACAATATGGTAAAATTGCTTAAAACCATACGTCCCCACACACATACACTAGTGCATATAAAAACCGATAAAATCTGAATAAGGTTTGTAGATTATACTAATGTCAATTTCTTGTTTGGGATATTGTACTAGAGTTACGTAATGTTATCATTAAAGGAAGCTGGGTGGAAAGTACATGAGACCTTTCTGCTTTTGTTTTGGGGTTTTTTTTGGTAACTTCTGATTGTTTTGAAATAAAAAGTTTTAAAACCCCACATGTCCAGAAGGCACACATATTCTTTCTTCTGTGGCCAATGACCCTGTTTATTTTAGCCCTAGTTGAGGCAGGGGACCAAGAGTGGGGTAGAAGGGGCAAGACATATAGACACGTAAAAATAAAATTTGACAGCATAGCCCACAACAATAGTTTTTATGTGCTTGTGCAATGAATGTGAAGAACAAAACTGCCTCTAGTTTTTTATCTCCCTCCAAATTTGACTTTCAGGGGAAAAAAATCAATAAAAAGTGAAATCATGAACCTAAGTAAGCATTCTGGAATTAAAATGAGAAAGACCTTAGAGAAAAACAAAGGAAGAAAGGGTACTTGTATTCTTCAAAATGTCAACATCATAAAAGACAAACAAAGGCTTAAAAACTATTCCTGATTAGGAAACTAGTTATCTGATCCCAAACTGTATCTTTTCTTGGAAGGATAGAAAGCTATTAAAGGACATTATTGGGACAATTGACAAAATGGAAACACAAACTAAAGATTAAAGCACTGCACCAATGTTAAATTTCCTACATGATTCTATAAGAAATATACGTAGCTGGGTTCGGTGGCTCAGCCTGTAATCCCGCACCTTTGGGAGGCTGAGGTGAGTGGACTGCCTGAGCCCGCGGGTTCGAGACCCGCCTGGGCAGGCGAGACCTCATCTCTACAATAAATCAAAAAAATTAGCCGGGCATGGTAGCGCACGCCTGTAATTCCGGCTACTCGGAAGGCTGAGGCGGAAGGATCGCCGGAGTCCAGCATGTCGAGGCTGCGGTGGCTGGGAGTGGCCACTGCACTCCAGTCTGGGCGACAGAGTGAGACTCCAACTCAAAAAAAAAAAAAAAAAAAAAAAAGAAAGAAATATACGTGTTCTAAGGAAATACACACTTAAATATTTAAAGGGTAAAAGATCATGATATAGTCAACGTGTTTTCAAATGGTTCAGAAAAAATAATCCATGTGTATATGCACAGAGAGAAAATATGATAAAACAAATGTCAAATATTAAAAATTCATGATCTGAATAAAGGCTAAGAGTTCTTTTTTTTTTATTCCTGCAAGTTTTCTGTAACTTAAAAAATTATTTCAAAAACCACTCTAAAAAGTAAGCATAACCTAGTTGAGTGCAGTGGCTTATGCCTGTAATCTCAGCTCTTTGGGAAGCAGAGGTAAGAGGACTGCCTGAATCCAAGGGTTCAAGACCAGCCTGGACAACACAATGTGACATCATCTCTGCAATAAATAAAATTAGCCAGGCATGATGGTGCATGCCTTCTAGCTACTTGGAATGCTAAGGCGGAAGAACTGCCTGAGCCCAGTAAGTCAAGGTTATGGCACCCCAGCCTGGGCAACAGAGTAAGATTCTGACTCAATAACAACAAAAAAAAGTATGCATAACGCATAACCTTGTCCTTGAGAGAAAATTATTCTTACTTAAAGAGTTTATCTAGTTATAAGTGTCAAAAATCAAGAAAACTAAATCTGACTAGCCTAAAAAGCAAAATTCTAAAAAAGGTCAAACTAATACTTCTCACTTTTATTATGAGCCACTGATTTCAGTACATCTAGATTAAGAGGGGGGAAAAAAATGCAACTACCAACTATTTAAATAAACCAGAACATCATAAATATGTATACGTAATGAAAGATCAATTATACCTAGTAACTTTTTCCAGGATTTTATGAGAGACTTTGCTAAAGATGTAACTTCTTCATCTGTACTCTGCTTGCGAATAGCATTAACTGACATTCCAATTCTTGTGGACTGCAAGGCAACAACAACAAAAAATTAAGTACATCAATTTTATTTCAAACAACCTAACATTTCACCTACATGTTCATCTTTCCCAGATTCCTCCTTCTATTTTAGAATTTAAAAATTCTGAGTGTGGTGGTTCACACCTGTAATCCCAGCTACCTAGAAGGCTAAGTCAGGAGGATCACTTGAGAGCAGGAGATCAAAGCCAACTTAGGCAATATGTTAAGATTCTGTCTCGACAAAAAAAAAATTTATTTTTTAATTAGCTAGGAATGCTGGCACGTGTCTGCAGTCCCAGCTACTTGGGAGGCTGAGGCGGAAAGATTGTCTGGTCTAGGAGTTACATGCAGCAAGCTATGATCGTGCCACTGTATACCAGCCAGGCAACTGAGTGAGATCACTTCTCTAAAAAAACTAACTAAATAAATTTTTTGAATACTTACACCAGCAAGCTATATTCTTAAGATACATAAATCTTCAGATCAAACTCTAAACTCATCAATGTTCTTACTACCAATATTTTCAAGCATAAAATTTGCATTCTAATGAGGCTGATAACTAAAGAAGTGAAATCAGTCTTTCCATAAAAGAGAATTAAGGATAAAATATAAAATACTGTACTTGTATATAAGGTAGGCTGTAGCACTCATGACTAATATGTATACTTTCTTTTATAGATCTCTTCATGGAGCAGCAGCTGCAACTTATAATAAGGATATCCAAATAAAAACTACCACCTACAGAGGTTTAAAAGACATTTTCTTTTTGCCTGTAACCAGCATACAATCACAGATATTGAAATAAACTTCACAAAGTACAGGTAAACTTTAACAGATGACAATACTTTATGCCCAGGATTATGCTCGGAGCATACACATTCCTTAATCTTCCTAAAACCCTTCAGAGTTGAGATCATTATCCCTAATTTTAAAGATGAAGAGATTGGAAGTACCAATAAATAACTTGCCCAGCATTGCACCATCACTAATTGACAAAGCTGGAATTGTAATCCAGGTCTGTTCACCTCCAAAGTCCATGCTCTTTCCAGCACATCAATGGTTTTCAAACTGTGCTCAAAGAACACAAAACCTATGACAGCCCAATTATGGATAATAAGGAAAAAATAGTAAATTATTTAGTAAGTTCAGATTGCTAGTAACAATTCCTTCAAAACATATGGTCTACAGAAGAAAAAAATAACAAAAGAAATTCTTAGTGGTGAAAAAAAGAAGTGACCTCCCGCTATGAGCACATGGGTACTTAAGGTTTCCTTCTAAATTATTCAAACCTCTCAACAAAAAGACAGATTAAGGAACTAAGTCTTGTTAAGAATTTAGAATATGTGGTTTGCTGGAGTGTCCTATATCTTTTGGAAAGCTGAGCAAAGCAAAGTTCATCAGCAGAAAGATAAAGTGAACCCTATAATTCTAAGGCCTCAAAATGGTTTGGGGTCAACGAGGCAATTTTCTTTTAAAAAGAAAAATCTTTTTGAATGAGTGAGAGACATAACTTGGGTTGTTAATATAGTTCTGAAGCTTAGAATTGACACAAATTGGCAAAAAAATAAAAAAGGCATTTTAGTGGGTGCTTGCGAGAGAGCAATGGTATAAGAAGACTAATAGATCGTGTGCTATTAGGTGACTTGCTTTTTAATTATCAGAGTATGTTTTGATTACTAAAAAGTCAATGATTATCCCACTCGGTACCTAACAAAACCCATATTAAGAATACAGTCATCTGTAATAAACATGCTTATCTAAGGAAGAGACTGCCAAGCCAAAATAAGAAATGAGGCTGCTGAGGTAAAATAAGAAACAAAGATTTGAGGTAGTTGTTTTTTCCCCTTAGGGGTACTATGGGAGAAATGGGAAAAAAGCTGACAAAGAAAGGATTATAGAGCTATTTAGTCTGGATTTGCCTATAAAAAGTCTCTAGGGACTTTCTTTTTCTAAAATTGGTATGCTAAGATTTATAGGATGTAATAGGTAAGCTATAAGAAAATGTTCTGTGCTCAAGTAAACTTAGTAATTTGGGGGTTAAAACATCTTTCTTGAATGCAAGACTGATGAAAGTTTTCAAGACAAACCATACATTGTCAAACGCTGGCAGAGAAAATGCATGGCTCTGCCCACGGCCTCTAAAGCGCATCAGACGTACAGAAAAAGACATTATCGAGGAAAGAAAGGTGGAGAGTGCATTAGGAAGACTTAAGGAGTCAACTGCACACTGACAGAAAAACAGAAAGGAATGACTACTGAGATAAAGAGACATAGCATCACAGGAAACAAGCAGATTGGTGTGCTCCAGAAGAAAAACCTCCTTCATGATCACTCAGAAGTTTTTGCAAAGATGATCTGAAGACAGCCAGTAAATCATTTTTTTTGCTTTTTTTAAAAATAGAGACAGGGACTAGTCCAGGTTGGTCTCAAATTCCTGGGCTCAAGCAATTCTCCTGCTTCGGTTTCACAAAGTGCTGGGATTACAAGTGTGAGCCACCATTACCAGGTAGCTACTAAATCTCAAGGTAAAATACTATAGCTACTATACAGCTACTATAAAACACACATATAAAACATATTACAAACACACACATATATAACAACACATAAGAAACACACAGCTATGATAAAACACAGGTGAAAGAATTAAAGATATCCTAAATTTTAAAAATTCACTGTTAAAACTGCAATACTGGCCGGGTATAGTGGTTCACATCTGTAACCCCAGCATTTTGGGAGGCCGAGGTGAGAGGACTGCCTGAGCCCAGAAGTTCGAGATAAGCCTGGGCTAACACAGCGAGACCTTGTCTCTGCAAAAAAAAAAAATCAAAAAAAATTAGCCAGGCATGGTGGCACACACCTGTAGTCCCAGCTACTCAGGAGGCTAAGGCCGAAGGACTGCCTGAGCCCAGGAGGTCAAGGCCACGAAGAGCCATTATCATGCCACTGTACTCCAGTCTAGGTGACAGAGTGAGACCCAACTCAAAAAAAAGCAGAGCGTGGCGGCTCACACCTGTGATCCCAGCACTTTGGGAGGTGGAAGAAGAGAACTGCCTGAGCTCAGGGGTTCAAGACCAGCCTGAGTAACATGGTGAGACCTCATCTCTACAATAAATAAAAAAATTAGCCGGGCATGGTGTTGCACGCCTGTGGTTCCAGTTACTTAGAAGGTTGAGGCAGAAGGATCACCTGAGGTCTGCAGGTGAAGGCTGCTGTGGCCATGAGCGTGTCACTGCACTCCAGCCTGGACAATAGAGTGAGAAATCCACTAAAAAAAAAAAGACTGCAAACCTAATCAAGTCAAAATACAGATTCAACACAGTCCCTATCAGAATTCCATCTGCCTTTTGTACAGAAATTGACAACTTATCCTGAAGTTTACATGAAAATGCAAGAGACCCAAAATAATCTTGAAAAATAACAAAGTTGGAACACTCACAATTCCCAATTTCAAAGCATACTACAAAGATACAATAATCAAGACAGTGTGGTACTAGCAAAAGGACAGACATGCAGATCAATGGAATAAATTTAAGATTCCAGAAATAAACCTCTAAATTTTTCATTAATTGATATTAGACAAGAATGTCAAGACAATTCACTAAAGAATATTTTTTTACAACAAATGGTGCTGGAACGGCTAGATAGATATCCAGATGTAATAAAGTTGGACCTCTTCCTTATACCACACACAAAAGCTCATGCCTGGAATACCACCACTCTGAGAGGCCAAAGTAGAAGGACTGCTTGAGCCCAGGAGTTTGAGACCAGCCTGGGCAACATAGTAATACTTCGTCTCTACCAAAACACACACACACACACACACACACACACACACACACAAATTAGCCAGGTGTGGTGGCATGTGCCTGTAGTCTCAGTTACTCGGGAAGCTGAGGCAGAAGGATCATTTGAACCCAGGAGTTAGAGGCTGTGGTAAGCCATGATCATGCCACTGTACTCCAGACTGGGCAACAGAGTGAGACACCCAACTCAAAAAAAAAAAAAAAAAAGAAAAGTAAAAACGTATAGAGAATGGGAGATAATATTTGCAAATCCTATATCTGATAAGGGACTTGTATGCACAACATATAAAGAACTATTACAACTCAATAATAAAAAGACAACCCAATTTAAAAGTGGGAGACTAAGGTGGGAGGACTGCCTGAAGCCAGGGGTTCAAGATCAGCCTGGGCAACTTGGCAAGACCTCATCTCTAAAACGAATCAAAAATTTGGCTGGGTGTGGTGGCAAACACCTGCAGTTCCAGTTATTTGGAAGGCAGAGGGGGAAGGACGGCCTGAGCCCGGCAGGCTGAGGGGGTGGTACTTGAGAGTGTGCCACTGCCACTCCAGCCTGGGTGAGAGCAAGACTCCAACTCAAAAAGAAACGAAAATTTAAAAAAAAAAAGTGAGTGAAAGAGCTGGATAGACATTTCTCCAAATAAAATATAAAAATGACCAACAAACACATGAAAAGAGGCTCTACGTATTAGACACGAGAGAAACAGAAATGAAAACCACAATGAAATAACACTTCACAACCACTAGGATAGCTATAATCAAGGACATGTAAGTGTTTGCAAGGATGCAGAGAAGCTGGAAACTTCATTTACTGCTGCTGGGAATGTAAAACACAGTGACCTGGGATGAGCCTGGCAGGTCCTCAAAATGTTCAACATAGACATTAACTCAGCAAATTCTACTCCTAATTATCTACCTAAGAGCAACAAAAACATAGGTTCAAGCAAACCTGTACATGAATAAGCACAGCAACAGGATTCATAACAGACACAAAAGTCAAAACAACTTAACTTGTCTATCAATTGACAAATGGCTAAACAAACTGTGATATATCCATGCAATGGAACATTATTCAGCCATAGAAAGGAATGAAATTCTGATATAAGCTGAAACACGGCTGAACCTTGAAAACATTACGCTAAGTGAAAGAAGCCAGACACAAACGCTCACATATTGTATAACTCCATTTATATGAAATATCCAG